TATGCAGTTACATGGTGGCTTCAAAGATGTATAGGGCACAGTCTCTGCTCTCAAAGATCTTATAATTTAGTGAGGACTGGGAAGTAGACGAATTTGTAGATAACTATAATATAGAGTATAATAGCTGTTAGATGAGATGAACAAAGAAAATGGCATTGGAATTATAGAGCAAAGAGAGAATATTTGCTAGTGTATGTGCACATGTGTGCAGGAACATGTGTTTGAGCATCACATGCCTCGTCTGGGGTGGATCATAAAAGACTTCAAGGAAGATTTTGTATTGTGAACTGGACCTTAAAGGATGGCTGAGATTTTGACAAGTTAAAGATGGTACAGAGGTTATTACACATGGATAGAACATCATCTATTTTGGGAGACAGTGAATAGTCAGTTGAGTGAGATCATTTTTCTAGTTAAATAGTGGAAGGTGAACTCAGAAAGTAAGATTGAGGCTAGGAAAATGGTATAAGATAAAATAGAGAGGGTATATTGAAGCCAGAGGATAGAAGGCCTTCAAGGACTAGATTTTAATCTGCTGCCAGTGGAAATCCAGTGAAGGATTTCAGGAGGGGTGTGGCATTATCTGAGCTCTGCATTAATCTAAATCTGTCGTCAGTGTGTGGGGGTAGAATTGGGGAAAGGGGATGAAAAAATGTCAGAGTTCAAAGATACTGACTGAAAGGAAATCAGTTAGAAAAAGTCTCAGCAGTGGGGTTGAAAAAGGACAGGATTAGCAGAATAAGAGCTGGTCTCTAGTTAATAACAGCTGGAAACCAAGTGGCAGAGATAATATTAATATTGTTGTTATTGGCTCTCACTGTCCTCTTTCTCCCTGAATTTTATCTCTTCAGGTGATTGAATGCAACCTGAGAGCTTCTCGATCCTTCCCCTTTGTTTCCAAGACTCTCGGGGTAGACTTCATTGATGTGGCCACCAAGGTGATGATTGGAGAGAACATTGAGGAAAAATCTCTTCCAACATTGGAGCATCCCATAATTCCTGCTGACTATGTTGCAATTAAGGTAATATTTTCAAAACATCTATTAGTCATTTTATGAGTTCCAATGAAATTAAAGGAACAATTTGTCATCAAAAATCTTGTTACTTTAAAAACCTTCTAACTAAACTACCAGACTCAAAATTTGTTTCCTTTCAATAATGCAATGTGGTTGCACTACGGCAATTTTATGTAAACTGTTGTGCATTTTGAACTTTCAAAAAATCATCTAGAATTGCAACTTCAATACCAAGTAGCCGAGTGAATTATAAGCTATGCTTATGCATTTGACACAATGGTGCCGGTTTAGCTGGTAAGCAGAAGTCCTGAATATAGTTGGCTAGGATAAGGCTTGAATGGTGCCAAGTCTTCAGGAATGCACGACTCTCGTAAAAGTGGTTATCCTATGGGGTTAAATTCTTACCATGTTGACCACCTTTGCTTAGTCTGTATGTTCTTTGATGGCACTTTTTTTCCATTTGAAAAATCGAGATAGCAATTGCTGTTTACAGTGGTGCTGTAAGAGCGAGCATTGATGGTACCTTATGAAAAATAAGCAGGAAAATTTAAGGTTATTCACCCATTTTCTCTTTCTCTCTCTCTCTCTCTATATATATTTTTTAATAATACCTTAATAATAAAGCCATTGTACTCCTCTAGATGCCTCAGTATGATTGTGTACAGAATATTTATAATTATGACATTTAACTACTTTGCTGGACTGGCATGAGGATCAGTGGGATATATATAAATATATTTGAATTTCTTTAGATGAAATGTACAATGAAATTAATTTATATTATGTGATATATTTATGTGACATTGACAGATTTTCAACGCCTATAAAAGGTTCCTGTTCCTATATGTACTAGTGACCTCAACGATAATTGTGTTACAGATGAGAATTTGACTTCTGACTTTTATAATGGGACCTTTAGGTTAAGCTATGAATCAAAAAATATTTATTAATCTTGCTTAAGTTAATAATTTAGGATGCCTCAAATTTTATAGTACATTTAGATAGAATGTCACTTTTCATGTTGGGGGAAGACTAGCATTTTATCCCTAGAGACTATAAAACAAGCATTGTAAAAGCTTTTAATAGAGAAAGTGAGAGAGAGGGGATATTTTTGTTTGAGACCAACAGGTAGTAGGCGCTGAAAATGTTTTTTCACTAGAGATTATATATATGAATTTAACATTCATGTTTCTTTGTTCATAGTTATAGGAATATATGCCTCTATTTCTTCTGATAGATTAATATATGAATATACAAACATAATTTCAAACTAAAAGTAATATTGATTGATAGATATAAATTTTTTAAATGCTCTGTATCTTCTAGTTTCTTTTCTAGTGATCATTGTATATGAATTGAGTTTTTTTCAAATTACTTATTCATTGTCAACTGTAATAGTCCTAGTAAAGTCAGTGGATGTCAACAGATGGGGAAATAGGGAAGCTGAAGTGCAAGAATATATAATAACTTGACTAAGATAACCCAATGAAATAAACCCAAGCCAGAATTCCCATCATAACTTAGGTGCCAGAATCAATGAAGGAATAGTCTAGACCAGATAAATGAACATATATCATAAACAAGAATTTGGTTCTTAGTGAATTGCACCAATAAAATAAATGAAAAAGAGGCATTTGTATGTTCCAGTTCATATAAAAGTTCTCGACAAAAGCGTTTCCAAGCAGAATGTTTTTCAAAGCTTTTAAGAGGTGTCAACAATAGTTTAATGTCTCAGAAGTTGGCTTACAGGCGGCCGTTTCTGGCAAGGTGGCTTGTTGCAAGTTTGAATGATCAGAACAAGAGGAGAAATGTTTCAAAAGCCTATCAAAGAAAAAAAATGTGTTTCAACTCTGTGTCTGGGTAGACCAATGCCCAGTAGACTTTGTTTGAAATCACTCCAATAAGAATATGCATAGGCTAGATTAGGAACACTGGTCTAGACTGGTCACACAGGACCTATTTACAGAAATAATTTGTGGTTATTTAACCTAAGATTTTTGGCCAAAAGCTCAAGAAATTCTTGGAACAGAGTTTTAAAGCTATTTTTCAAGTCATGTGCTTGAACCAAAGAGATTTTTTACGTGTCTACCATAGCCTAAATGAATCCCCAGAGAGATGATTTGCTAAATATATTAATTCTCTCTTATTCATTTATTTATACTTTTCCCTCACATTTTTTCCTCCCTGCTTTTTATGACAGGCTCCAATGTTTTCCTGGCCCCGGTTGAGGGATGCTGACCCTATTTTGAGATGTGAAATGGCTTCCACTGGAGAGGTAACTAGTTAATGATCCATGAATGGTTTCATTAAATCTACTTTGAAATCTATGGTTTTATGATCTGAATATAGTAAAATAATTAAAGTAGTAAGTAGTAAGGAGAACACAAATTTCTGCTATTAATGTAAGTCTCAAAGGGCTTAAGGATTTTGAATAAAAAATTTACTGTCTTTTGGAATAGAGTCTAAATTCTCACTTCTGTTTCAACATGGGCATATAATACATGTGTTCCTAATTCATTTCCACATGAGAACATCTTTCTTATATTTCTTTAGACATCTAAGTAAATATCTTCTGTGTCTTTCTTTTTATTTTAAGGTTCTCAGATCTCTCTGTAACAGCACCTCATCCCCACCTTGCTACCATGAAATCAGATCATTGATTTTTTATTAGCAATATGTGGAATAACAGCATTAGAAAGATCATAAACCTAAATATTGTGGAATCTGCAGATACATGGAAAATCCCAGGACCACTTTTAAAGCAACCTTAACCTCTTGGGGATTATCTCAAAGCTATAATGGGACTGGCCACTGGATGTCCCTCTTCACTTGTGTCGGGATTGTGTCAGCTGGAGGTTTCTTTAAGAATGTGAAATGTGTTTCTTGCAGAGAGCTGTCAGATTCTAGAAAGTTCTCTGCATGTCAGTGTCAGGACATTTTATGAATCACCTAGCCCTTGACAGACTTACTAGATACAACCTTCAGATTCTCATCAGTGCACATCAGAGTGGCAACATCAGACTGTGAGGCATCATTGTTTCCTCTTGGTATTAAGAAAAACCTGAAAGGGGAAAATATTTAATTGCAACAAATACGTGATGTTTTATATGGTTGCCTGGTTACAAGCAAGATCTGTGATGAGAAGCCGAGTGAGACAAGAAGGCAGGCAGTGTGAATAAATGGCTATCCTGTTTGTATTTGGACTCTTCGAACGGGAACTCTTAGCCCCTTTGTTGCAGGTTCATCTTGATCCCAAGGTCACTAGTAGCGGTGCTGATTTCAGCTGGCCCAGGCTTCGGATCAGAGAGAGATCTATTTTCCCCCATGCTTTTTTCTCTAGTATGGCAAATTTATTTCCAGTGCTTATATTCATTGTGCCTCCATATGCACATTATAAGAGTTGTTGAAACATAAAAATATGAAAAAATTAGAAATTTAGCTCCCTCTTTGTTATATGTTTCTAAAGTATAAAGAAAGATATCCTTCTTCCATTATTTGAAAGAGTCGTATTTCCAAATATCATGAAATGTAATGTTACAAGGTCTGTTTTATAACTAACATCAGAATAACTCCTCTACCTTAGTAAAATCTCAATTATACTTCAAAGAGACACTTTCAGTGTCCAAATGGCTTGTCATAGTGTTAAGTAAACCTCTAGCTCCTGACCGAGGTAAAGGGAATTTCATTTTCCTAGTGGTAAAGTGGGGATGTCAGTCCTAGTCTTCACTAGAACCTTTGCCTACTTTCTCCGGTTCCATAGAAAATTGCTGAAACTTCTGTGTTGTTGCATCTGCACTTTTGATGGGATTGCCCAACTCCTTTCAGTGCGATTTGAGACCATTAATGTAGGTTAAACTTACTTGAGTTAGTGGGCCAGTACTTGACTGAGTAGAATGTTCACTGGAGTGAAAACTAGCATGTATTGGTGGTCAGCTGAAAGTCATAGTCATGAGAACTTTCCTTGCATAGAAAGGGAGTCATTTGCTTCAAGAATGAATTTAGCCATCAGTGTTATTTACCCTAATGGTGGTTCTGTACCTCTGCCAAATGATGATGTTCGTGGCAGAGTTGATGCCCATCATCTTCAAATATAGCACTTGTTCTATAGTTACGGTGGCTATTTGATTTGTAGTTATATTGTAGCACAGTTTCCCTAGATGAAGCTTCTGTATACTCTAACATTACTGTATCTATTAGTTTGGAATCATTTTTTTTTTTTTCACATATGGTATGGTATTCGGGACTAGTAGCAGAGTATTTTGGTTCATTTTATGAAAATGATTTTTAAAAAGAACAAGTTCCTTTGAGATTTTCATGGAATTATTTAATTTCTCAGAAGGCATTCTCATAAGCTGTAAAAATGACTCCAAACCAATGATCTGCAGTTATGCATTTCTGCTACTGACCCGTGAATTCAGGCACTGCTGCAGAGTATGTACGACATATACTGTTATTTAAACAGTAAGTCATATTAACATTTGGAAACTCACCACGTTATGGACTAGAAGCTGTGATTTGTATCCAAATAACTCACAGTAGAATCCAGTTATGTTGCTCCATTGAGTGTTGTTGGATAGAGAAAGAATTGCTTATTCATTCATTATGTTTAATTAAAAACATAAGATACATCTGCCCTGGCCAGTCTTTTAATCCCTGGATTCAGGTTGCATGGTCTTTGGGCAACATTAATAAAATCTACAGAAGGAGTCTATGAGTGAAGTGCTTTCCATTTGTGTGTTTGTGTGTATGTGTGTGTATTGGTAAGGGTGATTGATTTCTCTATTGCCTTCTCTATTTTATCTTTTTATTTATTCCTAAACAGGTGGCTTGCTTTGGTGAAGGTATTCACACAGCCTTCCTAAAGGCGATGCTTTCCACAGGATTTAAGATACCCCAGAAAGGCATCCTGATAGGAATTCAGGTAAGTGGTATGTGGCTGTGTGCATGCCCATAGTCATACACTGTGAGTGGTGAGGAGGGGCAGGGACATTAATTGTGGTATACAAGAGGGCTTATGTTCTACTTTACAGCAATTTATAGAAAGCATGGACATTTGTTCCCTATTTGTTTCCTGATTTTTCCTTCTCCTGTTATAACAACCAATGCAAAAATTAAAATAAATAAAGACAAAGTCTCTAGTGAAGGGGTATTTGTTCTAAATGGGATTCAGAGTGCCTTAAAAAAGGAATCTCTCCTATTCTTTGGTTACGTCTTTTCTAAATGTTTTGCTCTTAGCTTTTCCTCCTTAGCCGCTGAACATAGGCTTTCAATAAGGTTGAGTCTCACCTTCTCTTTCTGTGTCTATTTCTTGAATTTCCCCTTTGCAAACTCATCCACGTCTACAAAAATCTACTCTCCTATCTCTAACTACCATCTTTAAATCTTTATCCTCAGCTATCCCATATTTCCAACAAGCTGCTGGATACCTCTATCTGGATGTCTCAAATCCAACATTTCTCAAAATAAAGTCATATGTGTTCTCTCCTGACCACTGCTCCTTCCTTGCTTCCTTTCATTCATTCAGTTCTTCACGTTTCAATCTCTAGTCAATGCCAAGGATTCAAAGTTGAAGAAGACATGAGCATTATTTGAGAAATTTCCTCAACTTAACTCTCTAGGTTGAAAGTTTATGAAGGGTGGTGACTTAACAGGTCTAAAAAAGTCAGTTTATCCCATAGTATATTGTGGAAGTTCTTGAAATAGTAGTATTTGTTAATCTCTCTAGGTCAAGGTAGGCTGAGATAATTATAATTGAATATCTTTATATAAGGAATAAGGCATTATTGATTTATTATTGCAAGTCAAACGCAAATCTTAGGGCAAAATGATAGACAGGAAACTTCTATTACTGTTTGGAATGATTATTGCAAGAGTGTGTAAACCATTCTGTTTATAAATTTCCTGAAAAAATACTGGCTGTTTTCCAACTGGTTATTCACTTTTATCTGAGATTAGTAATTTTTGGGTTCTATAAAAACAATGGATGGTCTTATATAACACCCCTGCTGTGCATTTAATAAGCTCAAACCCTGCATGGTTACATAAAAATCAATAAAAATATAATTAGAGCAGTACCAGGTATTCTCAAACCAGTGGGTGATTATTATAGATGCTGTCTCATTAGGGTGTCTTAATATTAGTGAATTAGACTCTGGAGACTGGACAGGTAGTGTCTTTGGAGAAGTTTCTGCAAAGAGTAACTTGGGATTTTGCTTTACAAAGGTGCCAGAAGGGCAATGGTGAATAGTTAGAGCAGAGGCTAACAAGATGACTTGTAATCGTGAAGCTTAATGGCAGTTTAGAGACAAATCACACCATACGAGAGACTCATCACATTATAAATGGGTATTAAGTGTTATTAAGTCCCAACTATGAGAATATTTGCCCAACTTCCAGTTATGGCTTAAAGTTTAATGTGAGTCCTGGGGGCATTCAGAGGAGACCATGCCCTTAGTCCACATCTTCACATCTAATCATAATAGTGCTAACATTTCAAAATGCCAGTCTAAGAAGGCAGTGATGTATAAAATTGTGCTTGTTTGGTTCCAGTGCTGCAGGGAAATGTGAAGCAAAAATTAATTCGATCCCTCTGAAGTATTTGTGTAATTTTGGCATTAGGGAACAGAATTTTGCTTTGTAGGAAAAAGAAAAGGGTTTTGTAAGAAAAAAGAGTTTTCTTAAAGCAATGAGGTTCTGTCCATTAAAGTTCTACCTTTCAATGCATTCTTTTTTAAATAAATCAACGTTCCAGCAATTGCATGAATTGTTGCAAAGAACTTTCTGCACATGAGAGCATTGTGTTAGGGATTTATATATATAAAAAAGTTAAAAATATTTTAGAAGAAATATTTAATAAAATTATACTTAAGACAATATTTACAACCGTAGTAAAATTGGTGGGCAGGGGCCTAAGCCTCCAGAGATGGACAAGAATGATTTTCTGATATATTTTCTGTGAGAGACAAGAAAAACCTGCCATGACCAACAGTTAATGTATAGTCTCTCCATGACTATATGGAGGATTTTCATTCATAGTGATATTTTAAAATGCTTAGTCTGATAAATTAAACTGAAAATTATAACAGAAAATACTACCTAGAGAGTTAATAACACTGACTGGACTTAGAACAGGAGCAAATCTAATCTCAACTTTTTACTTAAGCATCATAGTAACTGCAGATAAAGTAATTAGGGTTCCATATTTTAGGATGCAGTGTACTTTTAGAAAAGCATTTTATTTAGTGGGATCCTACTTGGTCAGAACTCATATAAAGTCAGACTGAAAAGACTAAAATATTACTGCCAATATATAAATGGGATTAGGACTAATAAATCCAACAGAAGGCATCTAGTTGAGGGTGAGTTATGTAATGAGGTTCTAAGAGAGAAAGTTCACAATTACGTTTTGATATCTTAAGGTAATCATTTATTTAGTATAAAGTTGTGTAGACTCTACTCATGGAAGAGCCCTGGTAGGCAGCATTGTTGCAGTTAAATTGCTTTATTATTCCCTACATATGTATGGGGAGGATGGTCAGTATCTGTCACATTTATTTGAGGTAAAGGTTTTTTCTCTTCGTCTTCCCACCCTGACCTGAATTCTTCATGAGTAGAAGAATTTAATGAACATACCTTGACTCATTAATTTTGCACAACAGATTGTAAGAGAAATTGGAGGAAGAGAGAAATATGGGGTAGAAGAAAAAGTGACTCTGAATTTTTCTTATTGTTGGAAACTTAATACACATTTAAAATAAGTATTTATTATTAGCAGGTTTCAGGCACTTCTCAATATTTAACAAGTAGATGGCGTGTGCTTGCCTGTGTGTGAGCGTGCATGTGCATGCTTGCTATATGACAGTCTTCCTAACTTTATTTCTCTTCTCTTTCCTACCCTCCTTTTTTATACATGCAGACTCTGTTTCTGCCCTTCCAAAGTTAAATCCTATGGGTCAAAGTACCTGGGAAGTTTGAAATATTCATAACATCAATCTTGTGTAACTGGGACTTAGGTGAAAAAAGAATCAAGATTTAGATTTTGTCAAAGAATCCTTGTCAATGTAACTATTACATGTACTGCTTCTCTACTGAGAGGCTTTCCATATACCAAGGCATTTCTAATATAAGAAAGGCATAATGCAGATTTATGTGGCAACAAAATCATCTTTGATTTTCCTGTAATATTTTCAGCCACCTTTCATCGTATTAGGATTTATTTTTGGTTGCTATGAGTAGGCAATCTGCCTTGTTTTGAAGTTTTCTGGAACACCCTTTAACAATAAATGATTTACTCTAGAGTAGATCAAGAGCACTCACTGTTTTTTCCCCACTGATTGGGCTATTCAGTGATGCTTGTGGAGTGGCGAGCACCAACCTGACATCTGCGCTTCGGCATTGCTCAGAAACACAAAGCAAGCATTTTATTTGAAAAGACAACTCCAAGTGACATGAATAACCTTTTATCTTCAATACAGAATCATTAGGAACAACCATAGAGTTGTCAATCCAGACGTCCCCGTAGAATCCACAGGCATCACATAGTATTAGCTTGGTTTTCTTTTTTGCAACCAGAAGTTGAATTAATGTGAAAATGATCATTGAGGAAATGTATATATATATATGTTCCACTTTTAAAGGATTTTCTTTCTTATAAACATTCCCAAGAAAATAAATCAGCTTGCACTTTTCACCTTTAGTAACAAATGGTTTCTTACACAGGTATTTTCAATCAGCTTTTAAATCTGAGGCTACTCAGATGCAAGCTGACAGCTGTAATTTCTTTTTGTAGAGAGGCTGTTTTATGTGTCACAAGTGTTCAATACACGTTTGATAGAAGTTTATAATGTGCCTATGGAAGCCAACACCCCAGACCAGAAGGCAGAGTGGTTCCCTGGCTGGGAACTGCCAATACTGTCATGTTGGATATTTATCTTTTCCACTTGGGGGACAACACTGAAACAGCTCCATAATGAGGTTCTGCCTGGTGTCTACAGGTCTTGGAGGACTTGCTGACTTATTTTACTTTAAAATGGCAAAGGAAAAAAAATTACATTTTAGTACTCTTCCCTAGGGACTTTTTCATTGTG